CCCCCCCCCCCTCTTTAATGTTGAACCTCCTTGTTAGAAAAATCCTGAATCCTCCTCTGGTGCAACTGCTTTTGTAATGTATTCCTTATGATTCTTTTTAAGTCTGGAAAATGGTCCTGCGCTGGAAGGCGTTATAGCCAAGCCCTTAAACAGTTGATTTTGATAGACAATACATTGTCTGAACAGATGGAAGAACAGGAACAACTGAAGGCTGCTTGTCTACTCAACTTATCTGCATGCCAAGGAAAGCTAGGACAGTATGACTTTGTAGCACTTAACTGTACAAAGGTTAGAACTGAGTGCATTTCAGTTGTGCACTTTGTAATGATGACTTAGTACATGTCACATGTACAAAGTTATTTGTAGTAACATTGCTGGCCATATTAAGCCTTCCAGATTGAAAACCATTGTCATGCAACCCATTGAACTACATGTAGCTTATTTGGGAGCTTAAAAACTGTTGTGTTTCACAGAAAGAAGGAAACAAAAAGGAAAGGGTTATTTTCAAAGGGATTGCTACAGATTTGTTGTTAATACTGTTTAGTTTAGAATGTTAAAATAAGGGCTTTCTAGTTTTATTGTTTGACATCAAGCACGTCAGAAGTACATCTAGTGTAATTAAAGTTGCCATCAATCACTCAAAAATTCCAGTTGTTTATTAAATATTAATTTTTTGCGATACATGGTTATAGTACATTTTGGTATTATTTTGGTTTTAATATTTATTTGAACTTGTACTGTAGGTACTAAGTTTATGGCCAGAAAATATTAAAGCTCTCTACAGACGTGGACAGGTGAGATGATATTATATACAAATATCCTTTTCCACCTAAATGGTTGATTTACTTGTTGAGGTTATTTAAAATGTTTTTAACATTGAAAAGGCACTAGCGCATATGTAGGCAATCTGAGTTGTTACGTGTTTTAAAACACTGTGTTGCGTGGTGTTACTGCATAACGTCAATAGCGAGATATCTTAACAAGTTCTTCATGCAAAAACAGAAAAGCTACTTTTCAAATACTGTTTTTTGTCTTTATTTAAAATGTGCACGGTTGTACTTTATTTATTTTGGTAAATAGTGTCCTAATTCTCCATAGGCATTTGTTATCTTGAATGAGTTTGAGAAGGCAAGAGGGGACTTAGAGAAGGTACCGTAGTTTATATTAACGCAGGGAAGGAAAAATAAGTTAACTAAAGCACGCCATTCCATGAGAAAAAACGGTCATTTAAGATCTAGAATCCTGATTTCAACCGTGATATGTTGGTCTTAGTTTAGCGCAGGTAATCTTGTGAACGTCTTTGAGTTGACCTTACCCAATGAAACACACTGATTGAATCTAAGAATAAACGGGATGGTACAAGTATTCGATTTTTTTAGGGTTTTCTTCATAGGCAAAAAAATCTAGAAACGAGAGAGAGGAATGAAAACTACGTGTCAGTTAAAAAATAAGCGTGCAGTGTTAAGGCTCCGACGTCGAGGATCAATTTGCAATTCCACAGCTCGATCTCTGTAAATTTGAGTTCAATACGAGTCAGGAAATTTCCATATAAAGCGAAGGTTAACCCACCTAAAATTAATTAACTTTCTTTTTCAGGCTTTGACACTTGACCCGTCTAACAGAGCAGTTCAATATCAACTAAGAATTCTAACGGAGAAGGAACGGAAACACGATGAAAAGTTGTCCAAGGCATTGGGTGTGATGTTTGGACGCAAAAAGTAACCGACCGGCAGGACTTCTTTCGCAAGACGGATTGGGAGAGTCCCAATGCGCCAGAGTGTGATTTTTCTCTAATCAGTGCTTACGCTGCAACGCATTGCTCAGTAAAAGATCCGTAGTAACCCACAACATTGTACTTACTTGTTTTCCTCTGTGTCCTTAGTTCAGTGCCCAAAACATCAAACATTTTAAGGCAAACTCAATCGCCGTTCCGAATTTCGAAG